TTGGTATTCAAGTAAGCAAAATTTGGGATTTGAAATAGTGATCCCCATAATATATAGATATAGGGTAGGGAGTACACATACACAGTAGCACACGGTCAAGCATGAAACAAAAAACGCACAAGAAAACAAAATAAGACTGGGATATATATATGATTCTCTCTGATTAATTAAAAACAAAAGAGAATTACAACTATCCTTCCATGTGATCAACATTCAACAATCATATCTTAATCCTTGTTAATAAGTATTACTTTAATCCAGAGCAATTAATTATCTGACATAATCACAATCCCGCGTCAAAATTTGTGAAATATTATTAATTATTAATATCCGCTTGCCGAACCGGCAGTACGTAACCGGTTGACGTCGGCCGGCCAGCTACCACGCCACCACCTCACCTGTCACATCCCATCTAATTAGCCGTTTAATCTCATGTATACATGGACGGCCAAGATTGAGTGGCCACCAACTTAATTTCTGTTGGTTTTACTATTTTTATTTGCTGTCAAATTAAAGAGGCTTAATTAATTAATTAAATGCCACGCAGAAAACAAGTCAAAGTGGCGGTCCATGACCAATATCTCTGCTATTTCTCCTTTGCCAAATTCTAAAGTTGACGAGTGCTTTGATTCAACAATCAACCTACCTAATTAAATTCACAAATCCCTGATTTTCATAAAATCCTAGAAAGGTCGATTTATTTATTATTTTCCAATGATTTATGATTTATGATTTATGATTTATGATTTATGATTGAAGAGGAGGACGTGGTTGCATTACTTGATTGCCTCCAGAAGATAAGATGGATTTATATTTATAAGGATACGACAGAAATGTTTAAGCTAAAGAAAAATTGTAAATATAATTCGAGTGTGAGTTAATAATTTAGAATTTAATTTTCGAATTCTGTAGATTTGGATCGAAAAGTTTCCGATCTTGGAATAATATTTTTGTATACTGAATTTGAAAACTCTTATTGCCATTTTTTACGAAATAATTATATGAATCCAACTTTTTATTACAACTTATATCATAAAAGTGGATAGAAAATGAATTTTTTGAATTCCAATGATTACAATATAATATAAAAATGCAAAATTTAATTGTTTTTCGAGTGTTTTAAAAAATAAAATATTTTGGAAAATATAAAATGGTAGAGTCCCTAGGATTCCATGGCAGCTGATTAATGGCCCAATTGCATGTGGGCAATGACGACTTTAGTTCAAGTGGCAAGAAATGTTATGTAGTTTATATTACACATTATATTTTCAGGTACTACTTTAAGTGCAGTTAAATTAAATTGTTAGGAGAAACCAAGAAATATAAAAAAATAAAAAAAAGGGAATATGAATATGAATAAAGAGAAAAAAAATAAGGTTGTCACGTAGGGGAACATCATTAAATGTGTGAAGATGAAATGGAAGCATGGATATGGTTGTTATATATATAGTAGGTGCAGTAGCACGATGGAGGCCGGCATTAATCCTGGATTTCTGTCCATCTCCCTGATTTTATTCTTTTATTTTTATTTTTTGGGATTTTTATGCAAAAGTCCCCAACCAAGCATGTTTATTATTCTAGGTTTAGGGGACATATCTCTTTTACCAATAAGCCCATCCCTTTAATATTTATTATAACTAAAGGAAACATTCATGTATATCCCAATATTACCCTCAACCATTTATACCCAATTCTTAATTGTAATCCAAATTAATCAATTTTGTCCATAAAAGTTCAATTTTGACCACAAAAATTCAATTTTGACTTTTTTTTGGAGTATAATTTAATATGCTCCAATTTCATCCTTAACTTAATTTAATCTCAATTTGACCCCAAATTTCACAAATTATTAAATTTTGACCCAAAATTTTTTTTTTTCAAAAAATATTTTTTTTTCAAAAACTTTTTTTTTGCCGCCGGATTCCGGCGGTCAACGCCGGTCTCCGGCGTTGACTTTTTTTAATTTTTTTTTTTTTTTTTTTTTTTCCTCCATCCGGATTTTTTC